AGGGGCGTGGGCCTCAAGTTGCTGGGTAGAAGAGTGAAAAAACACGGCTGGTGGAGAAAGATAAAAACAAACTAATACCACTGCTCTTCAAGGCTGTTTAGCCTCGCCATCTGTCGCCTCAGTTGTCCGCGCACCAGGGTCGTCTTCGGGGACGTATGGTTGCTGGGAGTAAGGCAGCGGACGTCCCGCTGCGTCTACCAAAGGCACATTGCTCTGTGGAAGGAGGCGGACCGGTGGTGTGTTGTGTGGGACGGGTTGTTGCGTGGAGGCTGGTGGTGGCTGATAGTGGTATCCCATGGGAGTGGGCCAGGGATGTGGTGGTGGTGGTGTGTGGAATGCCAGTGTCGTACCAAAACCTCACCCCGGCCAAAGCCAGTGGCTGGTGAATGGGGCCGGTGTTGGATGGCTGAGGTTCAGGCTACTGTGGAGGGAGAAAAGTGGCAGTGGAGCGTGATGTGGGGTTAGGGGAGCCCCGGCGTGGATCTTGCGGCCGCTTTGCTGGAAAAGCGTGTTCGTGGAGGCGTCTGAGAGCGGCCGCGGTGGGTGTGCCACCGACTGGACTCCGGTGATCACTGGGCAGTGGCGGTGGTGGAAGCTTGGGTAGCGCAGGCCCCGGAATCAGATCTGCATGCCAGCATGCTGGAAATGATCTGCGTTCGGTTGCTTGTTGGCCGCTGAAGTGATGGTGGGGGCAGGCGCTGAAGACTGTGAGGTTGTAGAAGGGGTTTCGGATATGGCGAGCAAAGGATGGGTAGAGGGCAATGGCATGGATTTCGGTCTGGGATGGAGTGTCAAGAGTGATTGGTGGCGTTGAGTGTTGTGCAAAGTGGAGAAGCCGTGGAGAGGAGGTTTGCTGGTCCTGATGGAGCTGAAGGGGAGTGAGCGGAGGCGAGGTTTGCTGTTATTGGGGGGGATGTTTGCGTGGTAGCATGCTGAGTGATAGGCCGGGTGGGTGGCGTGTGGAGTTGTAAGGGATGTTACTGCTGAGTGCTGGCAGGTGGAAAAATGGGGTGGATGGATGGTCCCTCTGGGTGCTGATTGGGATCCGAGTTGGGATCAAGTAGAAAGGTCGCGGGTGGATACCGGCCAATGTTGTCGACAATGTCGAGGGCCCGTCGCGCTTGTGTCTCTGCGGCATTCATGTGTGTGCGATAACGGCTCAAAAGTTGGCTGATGGGAATGGGGAGGTTTTGTTGAAAAGGGTCATGCCAAAATGGCGTTTCTTGAAGTGTGTGGAAAGTGTGTAAGGTTTGGTGGAGTTGGAAACGATGGAGGTTGAGGTCGGTAAGTGTGGCGAGTAGAGCAGCGCCTGGTTGCTCGGAATATGCCCAGCTCCAAAATGCAGTGTCGATCCCCTCTTCTGGTGGAGCAGGCGCGCTCATTGCGCGAAAGGCAGTGGAGAGCGGAACGCGCAAAGGGAGTTGGACACGTGGGGGCGGCAAAATGGGCGCAGAGAGAACAAGAAAAATTAGGGTGGAAACAAAACATGGAAAAGCGAGAAAAAGTCTAGACAGTGTGAAGTTGAAACCTGTAAAAAATCTCAACAATCGACTGCCAGTGGTGGGGCAGTGTTTTTCTCGTGGATGCTGTTGCAGGGCTTCCGAGGGTGAAACCGGAATGGTGAAACGAAGGAGCTAACTTGCTGTCCGGTGGGCGGCAGTTGCCTCTGCTACACTCTGAGCTATGCATAAGATAGCTTCAGTAAGTGTGGTGGTTTGGACGTCGTTGAGTGGTGCGGCTGGAAGTGGTGGGAGAGGTGGGAACAAAGGTTGTGGCGCAGGATTGAGTGGAGGTGGATAGCTGTGTGGGTCAAAGGCTGGTGGTGGTGCCAAGAAAGCTGGTGGTGGTGGTGGTGGTGGTGGTGGTGTGGCTGTTGGAATGGGATGTGATGCGGTAGGATAGGGTTCTGTGGATGGTGTGTGGATGGGGTTGCTGGAGAGGTTGTATGGCAAAGGTTTGCCGTTGCAACGCGGTGCTCGAAGGTGGAGAGTGGTGAGGGGGGTGGGGAGTAGGAGAAGTCCGGTTCAGAGAGATGTTGGCGAGAAGGTGAACGGGCAGTGTTTGCCGGAGATGTGGGGGAGTGTAGTATTGCTGGAGAGTGCGCAGGTGGTGGAGAGGGGGTGGATGACCCAGCAACGGGCGTTGCGGTGGCATACCGCTCCATGTTTCTGTTGAAGTAAGGTGGCGGCATCCTTGTGTAAATTTGGTGCCCGCCCCCCACGCCAAGAAAGAATCACGGAATGGGTGTTCTTTGCCATTTCCATGTGTTGTAGAGAATCCGGGCTTGTTCGCTGGTGTCGTGTTGGAGTTGTTGGGTAATGTGCACGCCTTGCGCAAAGAAGCCGGGATTGTGTGCAAAATGGAGAGTGCTAGGGAGGAATCTGCCTTGTTGTAAAATGTTGGTGATATTGCCCACAGGTCCAGTGTGGCCTGCGTTGATACGGACAATGCCAAGGGAGGTGGAAGTGGCACGAGTGGCTGGAGGTGGAAAACGTTGGTGTGCTTTGTGAGAGAGGGTGGGGATGGAGATGTGGTTGAAGTGAAAAAGGTCGTATTGTTCTGATGTGGGGTTCCACTTGATGTGTGTGAATTTACGGTAATCCCATGATGCCGCTATCCAGCAGGAGGCGGGCAATGTAGGCATGGTGAGGTTTGTTTGGAGTGTCGAATTGCGCCGCGTGATAGTCCATCCAAATTTCGAGTTGTTCTTGTGGAGTTTTCTGGCTGAAATGTGGTGGAGCTTTCCATGGGTTGAGGACGCGGTAATTACCTTGTGGGTTGGTTGAGGAGGAGTCGTGGTGCAAGAGGTCTGTGTTGGGAACCAGGGAAATGGCTGGGCGTGAGCGGCTGCGGACAGAGAGCGGCTGCGTGAGTATGACGAGTACGTGTAGGAGGATGAAGGATGGCGGCGTGAAGACGTGTGGGTTTGAGAGCTGCGTGGAGTTCTGCGGCGCGAGTGGCGATCAGAGTGGCCTCTGCGATGGTGATGCCGACGGAGTCGGCGGCCATGGTGTCGGCGGCGGCGGTGCCGATGGTGTGTTGGATGAGATGGTGGCGGGCGCGTGGAATCTGCTGCTTCTGATCGGGCTGATCCTGCTGGAGTGGATGGTGGTGGCTTGGCTGTTTCGGTTGTGGCGTGGGTGGAAGGTTGTGATGGAAGAGCTGGAGGTCCGGTAGAATCCGGTGGAACAGGTGCTGAAGTTGTGGCTGGTGCTGTTTGTGCGGATGTGGCGGCAGCAGCGGGTGTGGATGGATCTGGTTGTGTTGCGCCCTTGTCAGTGGTGGTGGCATGGTCTGGTTGCACAACTGGTGGGAAAACGGAAAAAGGTTGTTGTTGCCAAACACCTTGTTGTGGACCCCACGAGAGAATGGTAGTGAATTGCGTGGGGTGGTTGGGTGGTGGAGAGATTGCAATGGGTGTTGGATGTGTTGCTGCTGTGGGCGGTGGAGAAGGAGTAGGCATGGTCACAGGTTCCTGCGTGGGGAAATTGTAGGTGACAGGAAAGGTAGGTGTGGAGTGGGAGAAGAGTTGGCGGGAGTGTCGGGTGAAACTGAGGTGGAGCTGTAGGTGGCCATGTTGGTTGTGGTGGCATGGTGGCCGGGGGGTAATGTGTGGTCGCCGGTGGTAGATGCTGTGGAATGGGATAGACTGGTGGTGGTGGAGTCTGTTGAGGTGGTGGTGTATAAGGATATGGCCAAGCGAACTGCATCTCGATAGAGTCCTCTGTTGGCAATCGTCTGTTGCAGCTGCAGGTATGGCGCCAGCGCAGCGGATCCGCAGCTGAGACAAGAAAAGGCGAACGTCGAAAGAAGTGGAGGTCAAGTTGTGAAATGGAGAAAAATCATGGAAGTATTGGACAGTAGCGTCACTGGACTCAAAATGGTCATGGTTGGTAACGTGGTGCTGTACACTCTTGAAATCAAAAGCAAGCTGCGAAAGTCATGAAAAACAAACGTGAAAGTCCAATGAAATTCGGTGGAAATTCCGTGAAGCCCGGCGGCGTAAGTTGCAGGGAACACAAGGGTGCAGTTAAGAGAATCCAAAGCATGGTGGAAACGGTGGAGTCTGTTACACGAATTCCGGAGTGAAAACGGCGCCTCCTTGCGGAGGATCACACCCAGCACCCAAGTGGGACGACTGAGCGATTCACACTCTGACATTGGTTTTCGGTTAACTCAATCCCCAGGAAAAATGGCGATGGAACCGAAAGGTGAAAAGGTCGGAGCACTTGAAGATGTTTCAACAATGGTTTGTGCACAGCTGCAGTTCACGAACGTGCGGCAGCTGAAGGTGGCGGAAGGAAAAAGGTTTGGGGGAAGTATCATGGAGAACCACCATGAAATCAAAAAAACGGAGAAGTAGAGTCACAGCGTGGAAAACAGTTTCAGTCGCAGGTACAGGAATGTGCGTCCACATTCCCTTCCGGCTGAATCCCATAGCTTCGTTGGCACGGCTAGGGAAACAGCTGCCATGCCCCCTGCTTGAAAGTGAACCTCTGCTTGAAAGTGAAAGAAGGAAAAGGAACTCTTAGTTACGGAGGTTGACACACACACACACACACCTGCTGAAGACCGTGGATTTCGGAACGGCGCCTTGGTGGCCCCCGACACCCGTGGCTTTTGGGCTTCGACCATCAGATTTGGTGCCTTGCAGACGGTTCCATACGAAATCACGCGATCATATATAAGGTGATGGAATTCTGAAGAGTAGTGAGTAATGCGCAAATGTCAGAAGCTTTGTTTTTCGATCGCCCTTGGGTTCATCCCTTGGTACGTTCTCGCCATGGGCTGCTGCACGAGCACCGACATCTCACGCCACCAGACACCACACACATGCCACCATCCGATGTGGCTGGTGAGTCTTGTCTAACTTTTCGGGAGATCCGGCGTACTGAAAGTTGTGACATGCAGCATGTTTTTTGCTTAAGCGTGCAACATCTCACGTTAGAGAGCACAGAAACCTGTATTATTACTGTATGTTTCACGTTCCCACTTGTGAGGAAAGTGAACGATATTCTTCAGATGCGCGCGACATTGAAATGTGGCTTGACTTGACTTGGGTCATGATAATAATTCAGCCGCAAACCACGAGTCGTTTTTTGCTGGGCGCACGCGCTGCGGGAACTCGTTTGTACTGATCCTTGTATAGAGTAGACACCAACAGGTGGGCCAAACAAAAACACCCTTTCTTTTTGGTCGGTCATCTCCGACTTGTTGGGATCCAATTGAGGGCATACCGGCATACCGTGGTAGAACCGCTGTGTTCGGCAGGTCATCAAGAACTTCAGAAACTTGGCCAGCTCTATGAATATCAACCGTCCTTCCTGACGATCTTCGTGTCACACCAGTGGCTGGGAGGAGCGCGGATCTTCCGTTGAATGAGGTGTGAGGGATGATGGGAACGAAGAGGACACGATTCCTGAACAGTCAAATTCTACCATTTCTTGTAAGTGACTCTCAGGAATAATACGTAGCGACTTATAAGGGGACCCTTTTTTTGGTCGTTATTCCTGAAAGGGGACTTCTTTTTTGTTTTGTTTTTTCTTACATATATAGCGATGGCCTCTAACGTAAGACTCTAGCGACGGCCTTCAACCTAGAAGCAATGGCCTCCAACCTAATAGCGACGGCCTCCAGTGCGTGTTGGATGTGAAATTCAGAGACACCAATGTTCCGCATTGATGATAGCGCATTCGATTCTATTGTATTCTATTTTGTTTGTCGTTTTTCTTAACATGTCATACTCGACTCTCGAGGACGGCATCCAGATCCTTCGGGGAGCCAGTTCCGAAATCTTCAGAAGGCCTTACGAAAGGTCATTGATGGGAGCCTGAAACTTGAGCTGGACATGACCTCGCAGTTCTTGGGTCACCAAAAGACATTGAGACTTGGAACTTTTTCAGAGACGGTTGTTCACCGTGAGTGCTTTTACATCTAGTTCGGTATTATAACTTCTTTACATGTCTTTACCGAACCCATATTTCTGGATAGCCTTTTTCCTTGATCCAGCACGTCGGGCTGAGATGGTTGGCGCAGCTGTTCGCAGCGCTGTTCGCAGTGCTGTTCGCACCAAGGACACAGGAGGACCGGCGGCGTTTGCAAGAGGCCTACGTGCCTGGCCAAATGCTGCCGAGTTCCAGTCTTCGGGCCTGCTGGGACATCGGAGCCAAACATGCTGGGACACGGGGCACGGGGGATGAGTTTTGGGAAGCGAGTGTGGTTCCAACGTGGACGATTTATGATTGGACACTCCGGTTGATAAAGCTTGACCCAGGTGTGGTTCGACTGGTTCTCAGTACCACAAGCTTCCTTCGAGCACGACCCAGAGGTCAAAGAGGAGGTCCGAAGGACTGGCGGCCGGAAGGAAGGGGGGGAAGTCCAAGAGAGTGAATCTATTGTTACAAGGTAGGAGCGATCGGACGCTACTAGGAACAAAGGGCACCGCTATTAGGAGCGATCGGACGTTACTACGCTACTATGAGCATAAGCCTTGCAAGAGGTGCAAAGCCTAAAGCGGCCCGTTGCCCAGCTGTTGGAGCAAGTGCAGAACCGTTCTTTCGAACGCCGCAAGGACGGCTGACCTTTGCATCAGGCCTGGTCCTCTCAATGAGTGGGTCTCAACACAGGTTGCAAAGGTCCTTTTTCCAGTCATACGATTGCCACATCATAAGCAAATTTTTGCCTGCCCAAGAATCAGTCACGCTCTATTCCGACTTGGTCTTAGCTGTGGCTTTTGCGAAGATGTCCAGCTTTGCCTTTTTGAAGGACTTTTTTCCGAAGATGTACCGGGACACAGGATCTGGGGAGGGCTTTGGCCATGAGCGGACTGGACGTTTGAAACCACGTCCCAGCTCGACGTCTTTCCTCTCCAAGGTCAATTCCAGCCTATGTGGATGCATGTCAGATGTTTGTAGCCTTGGTGCCGAGTTTGCTGAATGAGAAGAAGGAGACGGGGAGACGATGGGACGGTTGGGTGGGTAAGACCTGCCCTGGACCTCTGTGCACATGGTATATAGGGTATTATGTGGATGGCAACCATTTCACAACAGTATTGTTTTTGTCATGGAACACTGCAGTTTAGCTGGTGAAGGAGTCAATCGCTGAGACAGAAGGACCCCCATTTTCCCGTGAAAGGACGGTTGGGACTGTGTAGTTGGCGTGAAAGGCTGATATCTCCGGTCCTGATTTCGAAAGCCTTTGGAGCAGAAGGATGAAAGACTTTGGAAGAGTACCATGAAAAAATCGGACAAGGTGAGTCAGCCTTTCCGAAACATGTCATGTGACAAAATCAGTGATTTTGGTCAACGTTATACCCTTTTTTCTAGGCACTTTCCAAGAAAGTCAACAACAACCAAACGACTACCAAGAAATATACTGATTTGTTTTTCAACGAACGAAGATGTCGGGGGATTTGGTGAGCCGATGGAGACTCGTCCGGACGGCCGTTCTCGTCGGCCCTTCGGACACCACATGCACGGTGGGCTCGTTCGCTGTCTGCAGTTCAGATCGCTGAGACGGCGTGCAGTTTGGAAGCAAGATTCAAGACACTTATGTCCAAGAAAAACTAATAGTATACAGTATACACAGTAATACTATCATTTTAATGGCTGATGTATAGTATTCCCATGTATTCCCTGTTGTAACAAGGGCTGTGAAAAGGAAGAGCATGGACAACGTTAGTGCCCCGATCTTGTCTTAGGGCAGTTGAGGGTGTATTTTTGCTTTCCCTGTGGGTGAATAAAATTTGTAGCGTTTTAGAGGAATATCATTTTTCCCCAAACAGTGTGGGCACACTGAGGGGTTCTTGCGGTAAGGGAAAGGAAGGTGTGCTTAGACCGCTGTTCCGCGCGGGCGTGTCCGGCCAATTCGCTGCTATTGACAATGCATTCATGCCTCTCGACATCATCAATGCGCATTTCGACTGCGCAGGCTCGCAAAATCTGCCTGCCCGCGACGGGTGCTTCAGGCGACTGCGCTCTCGTTGTGGTGCCGTGCGCATTTCGGTACATGGTGGTCACTTTTTGTGGCAGGCGCGAGGGAAGCCTCGTGTTTTGGTGCTCCAAAGTCGACTTTTCGTGACAGGTGCAAGGGATCGGAGCTGTTTTACTTCGAAGTGCAGTTTTCGTGGCACGTGCAGCACTTTGGACACGGTTTTGATCGTCGAGGAGCTCAGATTTCGTGACAGGTGCAGTGAATCGTGACTTTTCGATACGTGGGGTCCTTTGCAGATTTCGTGGCAGGCACAGCACTCTGTGACCCTCGATGTGCAGATTTCGTGGCAGGTGCAGCATTCTGTGACCCTCGATGTGGAGATTTCGTGGTAGGCGCAGCACTTGGTCAACCTCGAAGTGCAGATTTCGTGGCAGGTGCAGCACTTGGTGAGCCTCGAAGTGCAGACTTCGTGGCAGGTGCAGCGCTTGGTGAACCTCGAAGTGCAGATTTTGTGGCAGGTGCAGCGTTTGGTGAACCTCGACGCAGCACTTGGTGAACCTCGAAGTTCAGATTTCGTGGCAGGTGCAGCACTTGGTGAACCCCGAAGTGCAGATTTCGTGGCGCGAGCAGATTTCGTGGCAGGCAGATTTCGTGGCAGGCGCAGCGCTCTGTGAACCTTGAAGTGCAGATTCGTGGCAGGCGCAGCAGTTTGGTGAACCTCGACGCGCAGAGTTCGTGGCAGGTGCAGGACTTGGTGAACCGGGTTACCAGATTTTACGCACATTTCGCCACCGCCCAAACAATCAAAGCACACTTCTACTCTTTTTCCACTTCCTGTCGAGCTCACTTCAGTCGCTTCAGCATGCAGAAGCTATCCGCGGAGGCCAGCACACCGGACC